CACATTTAAATAACATAATTCGTATTCCAGTATTCAAATATCGTAACTGATATGTCAACATTTAAAAATTGAAATTCAAAAGTCAACATTACTCAACCCATTAGCTAACAACTTGCTGCAAACAACTACAGATTAACTCACATATATCTGTCAACAACAGTATATCAAAACCCCCATTTTAGCTGCATGTATCAACTTTATGAGTCAGCCTAATATGTCAGCTTTATAAGACTTTATATTTTGATTGTATAAGTTAACTTCATGTGGCAACTTTAAAAGTCAACTTCATATGCGCAACTTTATTTGTCAAAAACAAGATATCAAAACCATAATCAACCTGTATATGTAAACTTCACACACACACACACACACACACACACACACACATATATATATATATATATATATATATATATATATATATATATATATATATTATATATATATGTACATTTATGAACATATATACAATTAACAACCATATATCCGTTATTGACAGCTAAATAAACATCACATTACAAGTGAGAATCGTCAAATGCTACTTATTCTCAGCCGTGCTGTGTGGAGCAGAAACTTCGACAATTAATGGGCAACAAGAAAATCCAACTAAGTCTCTGGAAATCTGGATATACATAAGAATATGTCGTATTTCATGGGGGAAAACAGTCAAATACAGAAGTTCTGGAAAGTGCGAATGAACAGAGAAGTAATATGGGGGGGGGGGGGGGGGGGGTGGGTGGGGGTGGGGGGGGGGGGGGGGGGGGGGGTGGGGGGGGGGGGGGGGTGGGGGGGGGGGGGGGGGGGGGGGGGGGGTGGGGGGGGAGGGGGGGGGGGGGGAGGGGGGGGGGGGGGGGGGGGGGGGGGGGGGGGGGGGGGGGACACAGAGAGAATTGAAATATTTTTGTGCATTAAAAGACATAATAATAAAAAGTTAGTTGCGTATCCTATACAGGACGTTGCAGAACCAACCCTAGCATTTGTTGGCAGTTGTAGTTTTCCTAGGCAAGTTTACGTCCAGTAGTTTGCCATTGCTTTTTGAACGGTTGGATTCTCGATACCTTTGTCGAAACCAACGCAAGGCGCAAGGCCCGCAGCTGGGATCGAACCCGGCACCCCGGTATTACAAAGCGCGTTCGTAACGCCTAAGCCACAGACGCCTAAAGACGTAACTGTATTTTAAAAACCATACTGGAGGGAAAGGTTGAAGACAAAAGAGCAATAGATGGACAAACAGCAGTCTTTGAGAGTGTACAGCGAAGACAAGAGATCAAGAGATGGACAAACAGCAGTCTTTGAGAGTGTACAGCGAAGACAAGAGATCAAGAGATGGTCAAACAGCAGTCTTTGAGAGTGTACAGCGAAGACAAGAGATCAAGAGATGGTCAAACAGCAGTCTTTGAGAGTGTACAGCGAAGACAAGAGATCAAGAGATGGTCAAACAGCAGTCTTTGAGAGTGTACAGCGAAGACTAGAGATCAAGAGATGGTCAAACAGCAGTCTTTGAGAGTGTACAGCGAAGACAAGAGATCAAGAGATGGTCAAACAGCAGTCTTTGAGAGTGTACAGCGAAGACAAGAGATCAAGAGATGGTCAAACAGCAGTCTTTGAGAGTGTACGGCGAAGACAAGAGATCAAGAGATGGACAAACAGCAGTCTTTGAGAGTGTACAGCGAAGACAAGAGATCAAGAGATGGACAAACAGCAGTCTTTGAGAGTGTACGGCGAAGACAAGAGACATAGCGTGTTTGGGATCTGTTGGAGACACCCTTCACCCCAAAGACGACAACTGAATGATGATGATAAATCAAAGCAGAGTTTCAACTGTATATGCACGACCGGCTCTAGCTGACGGGCCGTGCTGCTGACTTAACCTGGCCGGGCTAACGCTGCGTTAAAGCAGCGGTTCTCAAACAGGAAATAAACTATTTTTGACAGTGGCGAGGGAAGACAACTTAAATTTTAACTTTTACGTTACTACATGCCTTCTTTAATAATTTCACAATCTGTAGCTGACTTTTCTTGATTATTGCTGTGGCACCCCTGGCATACGCTCACGCCACCCCGGCGTGCCTCGGCATCCAGTATGAGAACCGCTGCGTTAACGCATCGTTGGCCCGACTCCGTGACGTCAGCAGCACGGCCCCTCTGCTGGAGCCGGAGGTGGTATATGTCAACAGCCATGTTCCATGTGTTGGGTCAACAGCTGAAACTCCATGAAAGGGCCGGATTTACATTTGATGAGGCCCTCATCTAAATAAAGCTCTGAAGCCCATGCTTCTTTATGTTAAACCAGCTAATCTAAGAAAGTTGGCGTCTATGGCTTAGGCGTTGCGAACGCTCGTCGTAATGCCTTTGTGCCGGGTTCAATCCCAGCTGCGGACGATTTGTCTTGCGTTGGTTTCGACAGTGGTACCGAGAGCTGATCGTTTAGAGGGACATTACAAAGTAATGAACGTAAAATTTGCCTAGAAAAACCACAACAGCCAGCAAATGCTAGGGTTGGTTCTACGACGTTCTGTAGAGGAAACGAAACTAACTCACCTGTCTCGGAAACTGAAATATTTTGGTCATATCAAGCGCCACGACGGACTGAAATAAAATAATGCAGAAGGCATGATACCAGGAAGGAATGGTAGGGGCCGACCAACACGAAGATGGGCACAGGATATAAGTGACTCGCGGAGTATGAAAGTACATGAGGCGGGAGAGCTGGTGAGAGACCAAGTTTCTTTCAGGCAGACCGTGATGAGAGCGACGTTCTGCAAAGGACCTCTACATGATGATGATGATGACAGCTTAGTTAGCGTATTCCCACATCCGTCAATGTTCAATAACTATTGTCCACAATCTAACATTATTTGCAGGGTGACGACTTGAACCCGCTGTTCTCCAAGTACCCAGACATCGTGTGTAACTTCACAGCCATCACACTCCTGCCGTACAACAGCTCTCTGGAGTCCAACGGTCATCCCAGGATCCACTTCGCCCTGTCCAGTGACGCCCTCCAGCTGGTCGTGACCTCCTACAGCTTGGTGCTGAGAGGGGCGCAGGGCGCTAGCATCAACATCTCTGACTCAGGGCTGAGGAACGAGCTTCACCGAATGATCGTCAATGTGAGGGCAGCTTTCTGAGACAATCACAACCACGAGCTGATATCTGAACGTCTTCTCCTCTATCTAGATCTTTCTCTTTTTTGTTCTTCTTCGCGTTTATCGGCTGTAAACTCTGGGGGGTGGGGGAGTTCCGGTTGTTCGTCCACCTCCGGACTGTAGTCTTGCTCCAGAACCTGAGTTTTGCGTGCACATCCGTCTTACAGATCTGGCTTCTTTCTGTGCAGATGTTGGTTAATTACTTCTCATGCAGATGCACTCCCGACTTCGAATGCTGTCCTAAATAAGTCTACATCTAAGACATTCTTACTGGGGAGGAAGTGGGTCCATTTTTGTCTTCTCCCACAATATGGCCCCGGAACCCAGTTCTGGTGCCACCATTACATATCGTATGCTCCCAATGCTAGAACTAGTCTTGTTGCAACTACTACAACTACAACGTCAACGATTACCTATTAATAATGCTGCTTCTGACCCTTCGTCTTTTTTTTTTTAAATAACATAATTATGTGCTATTACTTTTTCTCATTATTATTTTAGCTATTATTACAACTTCTACGACGGCAGCAGCCACAGCTACTACGACGACGATGACCACTACAACTGCTGCTGCAATAGCCGCTACTACTGAAGATGCTGTGGCTACTGTTGCTTTTATTACCCCTAATGACATTGTTTCTGCTTCTATTGCTACTATCAATTTCATATGTGGATTCAGGGATCCCTTCTTTCCCCCCCCCTACCCCTACCCCCACGCCACATAAAGCTTGTCGTAGAAAGCGACTAATCGTGTGTATTTCCTTCGAAGTTCGGAGTGCATCTGCCTGAGTGACGAGGCACCTACAATTTGCGTACAAGTATGTAAGATCTGTAAAACGGGAATGTACGCAAAACTCAAGTTCTGGAACAAGACCGAAGTCCAGAAATGGTCGAATCATTACAACTTTTTGCCAGAATTTACAGCCGGTGAACGCTAAGAAAAAGCTGCTCTCAGTATCCCTATTAATTCTAAGACTACTCTTGCTTCTGCTGCTGATCCTGATTACCAGTTCGATTACACTGTTGCTGTTACTACTAGAAAGTAAAAGTAAGGGACCCTTTGTCCACGCCTTCGGGCCTTTTAGGCATATAGGGCTGGACCTAAATTATGTAGACCAATCGGCATTAAACAGATACAGAAAGTGTCTAAGACACCTTACAGGTTACAAGAGGATGTAGAAAAGCTAGAAAGAGTTAGAAAAGAAAAGTAGAAGAGTTCGTGCAGTGTTCAGCATAAGCAAGAAAGGCTAAATGGGAACATTTTCTGAGCGAAATTGGAGGCGCAGACAGATTCAAAGAAAGGATCAGCCTATCACACCAGATACACTGTTAATGGTGTGCCAATTCCAACAGACAAAGAGAAAGAGGAAGCATTTTTTTTAATGACTTGTACAGCCTAAACTAATCATAATGATAGGAAACATAGAGATTCAGTTAGAGATAATCTGTCTAATACGATAAATGATAATTATCGTCATGATATCAATGTGGTGGAGAATATAAAGTATATATTGCAAAAACCAAAAGACATTAAGCCGGAGCCATACGGAATCAGGTATGCCCACTTGAGTGATGAAGGCTTGAGTGAGATGGCTTTTACACTTCAACCAGAACACCAGAATAGCTTCAGTAACCCCGGATTGGGTACACAGCTACAAAATGCAACTTCCAAAATCAGGCAAAGATCATTCCAGACTCAGCAGTGTCATTATTATCACCCTACAATATACTTTTGGCAAGGTGCTAGAAACGATTATTGCTGCCAAAGTACACATGTTTATAATAGGGAAGAGCTCCCGTCAAAAGGTTTGGGTAGTTTTAACGGACAAGGAAAGATAAATGGTCAAATGTAGCTGCTTTTGCTTTTGATTTTAATGAGGGTTCCTGAATAGACAAGAAACGGTAGAGGCAGCATTTGATCATGAGGATGCCTACAGTAGAGTCAGATATGATATTTTGATATCTGCGCTAATGGAGTGTGTCCCTAGCTGGTGAACTGGATAACAGTTGTCCTGCATTCACATAGGTTACCGTTCACCTTGGTACATGTTGCAATGCTGAGTTAAGAATCGATATCACAGCACTCAGGACACTCCATTAGAGCTCAGTCCCAATTTTTTGCAGTAAGCGAATAGTTCCAATTTTGGTTATACCAGTAACCGTCTGAGTTCATGCTTTGTTCACAGCTCTCGCCAGCGATCAGCTATTCTGCAGCAATGGTTGGGGGGGGGGGGGGGGGGGGAACAACGTAGGCCATCTGTCTTTATTTATTAAACAATATTACTGATGCAGTATTTTCCGATGATTTTTTTTGTTTGTTTTTTTGTTTAAACACACAACTAATAGTGTCTGCTTTTTTGTCCTTAGAATGCGCAACACGGTTTGACGGGAAATCTGGAGTTCAACGGTTTGGGACAACGAAATAATTTTTCTTTCGACATCACTTCTATTACCGGAAGCGAGCACTATATGGTGAGTGCCGGATTAATCAATTATGTAATAAATTAGTTGGTATTAACTCAAATTATATCGTACGCCAGAGGGCTCTGTAATGATCACATATTTACCCAACCGCTCTCACAAGTTGCCAGAGTCGTCGATATACTACAATTTCAGATGAAGTAAATGTTTCATATCCATGCCAGGGGAACGGCAACGTAATCAAGGACAACCTCAGACTAATGAACAGGGGAACGACAAAGTAATCAAGAACAACCTTTGACTAATGAACAGGGGAACGACAAAGTAATCAAGGACAACCTTAGACTGATGAACAGGGGAACGACAAAGTAATCAAGGACAACCTTGGACTAATGAACAGGGGAACGACAAAGTAATCAAGGACAACCTTAGACTAATGAACAGGGGAACGACAAAGTAATCAAGGACAACCTTAGACCAATGAACAGGGGAACGACAAAGTAATCAAGGACAACCTTAGACTAATGAACAGGGGAACGACAAAGTAATCAAGGACAACCTTAGACTAATGAACAGGGGAACGACAAAGTAATCAAGGACAACCTTAGACTAATGAACAGGGAAACGGCAACGTTATCAAGGACAACCTTACACCAATGAAAGAAAACTTACACAGCGTATAAGAAAGAGCAGCACACGATCCTTACATCTAACCCTTCCCACATGTTCCCCTACCCTGCAGAAGAAACCATACTGAAGGCAAGAGAGCAAGAGATATACAACGGTACAAGTGGGAGGAACACAGGCCTAACAGGACGAGAAGGAAGAAACAACAACAACATATTCATTTCCAGCATTTAAGATAATAATTTCAACCTGTGTGTATTTGAATTTTACAGAAGAATCCTTGGAATTCTTGGGGGGGGGGGGGAAGCTTTATAAAGTTTTGAATAGGGCGGGGGCTATAAGATAACTGATCATAAACATCGAAAATAGACGGTCAGTAGTTTTCGGACAAGTTATGGGTGGTGGGAAACTGGATCATGTTGTGAGAAAAATCTATGGAAAAACTTGAGTTGATTCTTGACAGCCATTTTGTCAAAACACAAAACTGATACATGCTGTTGCAGATCGCAGATTGTGAAGAGGCATGATCGCCCACAGCCAGTTGGCAAGGCACTTGGTGATGGTGTTGAAATACGATTACATTTTTTATGTCATTCGCAGATCTGAAACATCTTGAAAATAACAGGTTACAAGATATGACAGTATGTTGTTACGAACATCGTGAATGCTAGATAGCTACACATACAGTTGGCCCTTGAGCTACCCCAGCCAGTAATAAAAGCAACAACAACAACAACAAAAAATTTGAAATTGAAAAATATCATGAATATGTGTAATAAGACAAGGGCGCCTGAACCTGTAGGCTCGTGCTTCTTTATTCCCCCCCCCCTCCCACGGAAACCTTTTTAGTTTGGCTCCCCCCCCCCCCCACCCACCCCATTTCCGCGCCTTTCTCCCGTTTTCCCGCACCTAGGAAAAAGCACTTATTTGTCGTTTATTATTTTCCAGCCAGCACAGTGTTGTGGGAAGGGTTACCGGATAATTTTGATTTAGAAATGGACAATAGGAATAAAACTGGACCTTCAGTCAGTCATGTTATGTTCTAAAATAAGTGAATGAACGTCTTTTCTAACGCCAACCGCTGCTATATGGCCACTTGTGCTTGTTTCTAACCCCCTGTCCACAGAGAGGGCGCTGGTACTGTGATGACGACGTCTTGGGTGCTAGAGGGCTGGTGCTCTATCCAGACAGGGTCTTCTCCAACAGGTCTTCGCAGTTTCCTCTGAGAGGTAGAACTGCCCGAGTTGTCATGATAGAGGTACTGTGCACTTGCTCAACTAAACAGCAATCCCGATTTTTTAAAGGGGGGGGGGGGGGGGCGTGGTGGGGTTATGTATGTATGTATGTATATATATATATATATATATATATATATATATATGTGTGTGTGTGTGTGTGTGTGTGTGTGTGTGTGTGTGTTAAAGCTAGTGATGTGTAATTTATCGTGATCCTCATTACCAGCTCCATTACCACGCCCTTGTTATCACTACGCAATCAGCGAGGGGGTACCATGGGATCTGACCGACGCTCAACACTCAGGGGAAGGATGAGACGGATGTACAATCAGACGGTTACTGGTGCCATCGCTATTGGAACTCTTCGCTTGCTGCTGAAGATGGGGACTGAGCACTTATCGGAGTGTCCCGAATGCTGTGATGTCGATTCTTAATTCAGTATTCAACATCCAACTACGGAATCACCAATTAAAATGTAATAACAACTGAGTGCTGGTCTCATGAGAATATTTCGACTGCACTAGTTCGAGTAGATAACAAGAATGGCAGATAACAGATAGACTATAACCAAGTACACACAAGAGTAGAATGCGTGTAGACTACGAGGCTGGCTAAAAAGACGGTGTAGGTATAATAATATCGAGCAGACCTAAAACACATGGAGTCTCCAACTGCAAAGAGAAGGCGAGTCACAAATATGCATGAAGACCTAAGGCAATGGACGTCAAAGGCTCGGCATTCTGAAGAAAAAGACTATGAATGATCCGCTTTCATCGTATAGTGAACTTTTTCATCACCAGACAAGATCCTGAAATACTTTGGGTAGTTTTTAAACTCCAAATTTTTGCCCGGATAGTGCCGTTAGCCTACTCTTTTCGATTTGCAACTGCCAGGGGATTTTTTAAGTGCCCAGCAATGCACACGGCCGTATGATCTCACTACTCAGAAACCAGGGGGAATTACTAAAGTCCCAGTCCACGTGAAAAAATCCCAGCCCTTACTGGGCATTGAACCCGGAACCTCTAGTACTCGATGCGGACATCATGCTTTGAAACCACTCAGCCTGCCCCCCCCCCCCCTTTTTTTTTTCCTCCTCCATGGATGAGAGAAAAGGGTGTTTCACGGACATAGATTATGTGAACTACATAGCTTGTGGTAGGGTATAGTCCGCTCCAAAAGTCGTACCCAGCTTTACAAATCTGAAACTCAGTTTTTGTTCGGTGTAAATTGTTGAAAATTGGCGTGCAACTGTAATCGTTGATGTATATGAAAAGAAAAATGTTTCAAACAATTTGGGACTGGCACAGTATACCTATTCCTCCTAGAGGTGTCACTCATAAGTTTTTGTTGTGAAATATTTAACTTCGAGCTTTCTCTTGGCTTGATGGCAGGGTGACGGTAGGCACAGGACAATCAATCGACCAGGCCGATATTCTCAATGCTCTCAAGGAGGTAGGGCTAGTAAATAATTCAGGAGACTATGCTGAGTCGACACCATTCAAGAGACTACAATAATTTCAGGTGAATATAGCTATCGCCTGACATAAACACTATACAGGTAGCTAAAGAAGAATAGTAAACCAACACAGAACTGGTGTTACCAGTCGCCAGACCCTGGGGGGGGGGGGGGTATACTGAAGATGGGATCCTGGTGCTTATGGACTTGTCCGAAGTGCAATGAGGATAATCTGTTGATTAACTAACTAACTAACTAGCTAACTAACTTACTAACTAACTTTCTCTTGTTGCCAGGAGCGCCCATTCACCATGAAGAGACGGGACCATATGCTGAGACGAGGCAACGACCGGTTTGAGGGGTTCGCTGTGGACCTGATTGACGACATCGCCAAAATGCTGGAGTTCGACTACGAGATCTACCTGGTGCATGACGGCAAGTTTGGCAGCAAGCTGCCCAATGGCGAGTGGAATGGAATGATTGGGGAGCTGCTTTCTGGGGTATGAACGCCTGGTTTTGGTAAATCTGTAAATGATCGGGGAATTATGTTCATGGTGTCTGAACACATTAGTGATTGGTGAATCAATATGTATAAAAGAAAAGAATATTTTTGGGGGCCGTGGATATTGGTACACGGATGTGGATACAAATGTGGATAAGTAGGAGGACCCTTTAAATAAGTGCTCCTGCACGATGACTGTTGGCTGAAATGGCATAATCTTATCTTTTACTATGTCTCCACGACTGGAGAAACGTTAATTCGTAGAAACATGTGGGTATTGAGTTTTGTATGCACCAAGAATATGACAATATGAATGTTTATTGTTGGAAAACTGTTGAGGCTACTGCAATATCAAGAGTAATAAACTCAAGATTTTTGTTGAAACAATAGTCATCGTAGACATATAATGGATCATCTCTATGGGTACTAGAGCCCTGCTTCTCCTCTTAACGCTCAGAAACTACTGGAGTAAGCAACATCACTGCTGGAATGTCATCTCTGCAAAAAAACCATGGAAACACGTTACCGACCAGGAGCCTGGCCAGTTACAAAAAAAAAAAAAAAATCAGTTTCATTCTAAATCCCAATGTATGTGTCTGAAAAGCGAGGAACCAACAGTCTGCACACAAATAAGTCAGATCTGTGAAATAAATTTTTACTCAAAACCTCAGTCCTGAAAAAGACCAAAGTCCAGAAGTGGATGGACAAACTGGACTTTCTGCCGGGGTTTGTAACCTGCAAGCGCAAAGAAGAAGAAGAAGAAAAAGAAGAAGAAGAAGAAGAAGAAGAAGAAGAAGAAGAAGAAGAAGAAGAAGAAGAAGAAGAAGAAGAAGAAGAAGAAGAAGAAGAAGAAGAAGAAGAAGAAGAAGAAGAAGAAGAAGAAGAAGAAGAAGAAGAAGAAGAAGAAGAAGAATAAGAAGAAGAAGAAGAAGAAGAAGAAGAAGAAGAAGAAGAAGAAGAAGAAGAAGAAGAAGAAGAAGAAGAATAAGAATAAGAAGAAGAAGAAGAAGAAGAAGAAGAAGAAGAAGAAGAAGAAGAAAAAGAAGAAGAAGGAAGTAGAAGAAGAAAAAGAAGGTTAAAGCCAGGTTATAATTCAGCACAACATATAAAAACTGGTCGGGATTACGTCCATATTGGTCCAGTTTACAGACTTCAGTCCCATGCCCAGAAAGATCATGGAAGAGTATATTAATACACTCTCATTTGGTATTCCTAATCTGTCTCCCACACCAGAATGCAACAATGTCAGTGGCCCCTCTGTCGATCAACGCCCAGAGAGAGGATGTTATTGACTTCACCAAACCCTTCAAGACACGGTTCATCTCGGTGCTCATGCTGATCCCCAGACGAGAGAACTCCTACTTCGAGTTCCTCAACCCCCTGTCTCCCGTGGTCTGGATCTGCACTCTGTGTGCCTTCGTTGTGGTCAGCATCGTCCTCTACACGCTGGAGAGGGTCGGGCGGGACAAAAACCAGCCGTCAGACAGCATCCAGATTACAGTCAGGGAATCGTTCTGGTTCATTTTTGGTTCATTGTTACAAGGTAATCGTCTTTAACGTCAACATCATCATCATCATCATCGGCGTCATCATCATCATCGGCGTCATCATCATAATCATTGTCAATAGCTTCATCATCATCATCATCCTTGTTATCGTCATCATCACCATCATCATTATCAATATCTCCATCATCGTCATCATCATTCATCATCATTATCAATATGTTTATCATCATCTTTGGAACTGAAATGTAGATACTGGTACACTTGCCATACGGAGCTGTTTAGTAGCAGTAGCTAGCACATGTGCCTTCGGTCCAGATGTTATAGGTTTAAATCCTCACAGGTGGCAGCTTTTAAACGTTGACACAGACTTGCGGATCGACCCAGTCTAAAATGGGTATCAAGAAATATTATGGGAAGTTATGGCGGCCGATCTAATAATGCTCATATTATTCATCGCTTTCGATAGGTTTTCACAAAATATGGTACTACTACTTTGCACTATCGCTTTGCGCATCAAACCCCCCAATGCCAAGAAATTGGCTCTCTTGTCTTCCTGTACTCGCACTCTATTACTCTTCTTATTTATGGATCTTATCTTATCTTGACTCTCTTATACCCTACGGTGTCGAAGTGTTGGTTCTTCCGCAAAAATTCTCCCCAGATGACGTCACGGGGACAGTCCAATATTTTATAGGGTGATAAGACCGGGTTTCCCAGCTTTCTGATGCTTTTCACTACCCCAGAACACCCAGAACTGGACCTAACTCCAACTCACCTACGCCCCACGAGAGAGTGCAACCTAGGTCCCACAACCGCATGCAACCTTGGTCCAACGACTGCATGAAGCCTATCTACCTCCCCCCTGAAATATTGGACTGTCTGTTTTGGGTGAATAAAACGAGAGCACTGAAGCGTTTTATATTTGACAGGAAAGTGCCTGTTTATGTGACTCGTGAATAGAATCTGTGATTCCCTCTTTTTATTGTTTCAATGGATGGCCTCTGCTTCGCTTCCCACCTTATCTGTGCATCATTAGTAAGTAAGTTTTACCCCACCACTACATCACAAAAGCCATAAACACTCTGTGACACCAAGTGCCACCATCTGGATGAGGATCACCCCGTGGAGAGGTCCCGGAAACTGCGTTCAACTTTTAGGTTATGTTAGGGCCTCCGCAAATAGCCATGGTGGTGCTTCAAAATAACAAAAAAATTGCATCACACAAGTAAAAAAAGGACCTTTTCCACTCCTTTAGGCGTATAGGGCATATAGGGCATATAGGGCTGTACCTATATTTTTTATAGACCGATCGGCACAAGATGAATGATGTTGTCAGCATCACGCCGACCGCCCTTTACTTCTCGGGACTGCACCCGGTACCCATTCAAGGCTGGGTCGACTTGGGAGCCAAGGTTATTTTTGAAAAAAGTCCGGCTCCTCGAGGGAGTAAACCCACAGTAATCCCACAAGGAGACGACTTAAATACATCATTTCTTGCTGTGGTGTACAGTTTGCTGAAATCCGCGTTATATGGCCAAACTATTTCTCTTGTTGTTTTCTATTATAATCTAGAACTTCCGCTAGGCCTATTTTCATCCGGGTTACATGGTTTCTCATCTTATCTTTTCTTGTTACTTTTAAGAGCCCTTCGCAGGAATCCCGTTTTAGTTTGCTTATGGACAGAGATGCTACATCCTTGTTAAAAGATAACATTAACACTAACTATAACTTATTTTTCAAACAACGATAAATAAATTCGTTTCAGGGAACACAGACTCGACACCCTCAACCACCCCTGGGCGTCTTCTGACCAGCGCCTGGTGGTTCTTCGCCCTCATTTTGATCTCATCTTACACGGCCAACCTGGCAGCTTTTCTCACTGTCAAGAAGATTAACACTCCAATCAAGGTGTGTACAAACAAAGGGGACTCAGACAAGACTGACTTTTTGCCACCTCCTCTTTTTGACCCATATATGATGCTACAAGAAGCTTTAAATACCCACGTGACTCAGAGATTCACATTCTAGATGTTATATTCAAACAGAAACAAAATGTTAGTTGCTTATCCTTTAAGGACGTTGCAGAACCAACTCCAGCATTTGGCGGCTGCTGTGGTTTTTCTAGACATATGTTTACGTTCAGTAGTGCATGGTCAGCTCCCTGTAGCACTGTCGAAACCAACGCAAGACAAAATCATCCGCAGCTGGGATCGAATCTGGCACCCCGTCATTACAATGCGCATTCGCAACGCCCACGCCACAGACGCCGACTGGGTGTTATATGACCAGGGCAAATTCCAGAAACCATGTTCAACCTCCTAGAAAAGTGTTATTAGGCTTCCCGATCGGCATGGTATAATTCAGTCTTGTATGGGTAGAGAATTTGGTCCAGTGGCATAGGACAACACACACCTATGCACTCCAATGGACTATAGTCCGTTCTAGAAATTATGCCCAACTTTAAAAATCTGTAACAAGTAACTGTTCGGTGTAAATTGTTGAAATTTAGCATTTAATTAAACCTGTTAATAATAATGTCTTTGTAGAAAAAAAATTATATAATTTTTTAAGTATCAATTTTTTGGTTCTACCTCACTTGTGGTATATGTAAGAGAGGGAAACAAACAGATATTGATTCCAAGCAAAAAGTTAGCGTGTTTACATTAAATGGCTTGAAGGGAGGTTGGCAAAACATCAGACTGCTCGCGTGTTGGAAGTAATCCGTACTAGAAACTAAGGCACACTTATTTTGAACAGCGAAGTGGATACGTCATGTACTGCTATAACGCCTGTTGACTGGCTCATAGAAAGTAAACGACTTGTGTCAGGTTTGGTTAGTTGCGTATCCTTTACAGGACGTTGCAGAACCCTGGCTGTTGTGTGTTGTGTCAGGTACTATATGTTTAAAATGGGTACAAAATTATTAGTTTGACCAAGATCAAAGAAATTCGCCCCTGTAAGAAAACAACTGCGCCTGTGCAATTGTCAGTCAAGAAATCGAAAAGACATAGGAAAGATAAGACCACATGCGAAAAGTTTGACGGCAAGACTTTTGGAACAAACTGTAGGACAATTCTCGCATGTCCCATCCTATTTCACTAAATGCATATGAATCAAACTGCCACTGGGTCCTCCGCCAACGGGTAGCTTCACGTGGATCTCACACTTTGTGGTGGTCATCGTTCTCGCCAAATTCAACCAACGAACTTGTCCCCACAAATTTCATGCGACTCATGTTAGACTCACGTTGGTCAACCAGATCATGAATATTAATGTACACTATCGCACACATTGACCTCTGACATACTCATTACTACTTCGCGTTGGCACACAACATAACTTCTTCTTCTTCGAATTCTTTCTTTTTGTTATCCTCTTGTTAATCCTTCTTCTTCTTCTCCTTCTTCTTCTTCTTCTTCTTCTTCTTCTTCTTCTTCTTCTTCTTCTTCTTCTTCTTCTTCTTCTTTTTCTTCTTCTTCTTCTTCTTCTTCTTCTTCTTCTTCTTCTTCTTCTTCTTCTTCTTCTTTTTCTTCGTAATTTTCTTGTTCTTCTTCTTCTTCTTCTTCTTCTTCTTCTTCTTCTTCTTCTTCTTCTTCTTCTTCTTCTTCTTCTTCTTCATTTTCTTCTTCTTCTTCTTCTTCTTCTTCTTCTTCTTCTTCTTCTTCTTCTTCTTCTTCTTCTTCTTCCTTCTTTTTCTTCTTTCTCCTTCTTCTTTCTTCTTTCTTCTTCTTCTTCTTCTTCTTCTTCTTCTTCTTCTTCTTCTTCTTCTTCTTCTTCTTCTTCTTCTTGGCGTTCACAGGCTGTAAACTCCGGCGGCAAGTTTTAGTTGTTTATCCACTTCTATCTATTTTCTTTTACCCCACAGGACATCACACAAGCATTAAACACCCAATGACACAAAAGTATGAGGATCACCCATGGAGAGGTCCCAGAAACCGTGTTCAGGCATTAGACCATATTTATGGCCGGGCTATATTGCGTCCCCTGGCAAGAACCGGAGTAGGGCTTCAAATAACGAAAATTTGCATCCCACAAGGGGATGACTAGATACTTGTAGTTAAAGTTCAGTATTTTTCATTCACTTCTGGATTTTATCCAGATTCTGAACCAGAGTTTTGAGTTCAAATCTGTATTACACATGTGGCTTATTTGTATACAGACTGTTGGCTTCTGGCCTCTCGGGCAGATGTACTCCGACTTCGAAGGAAACCGCCCTAGTTAGTCGACTTTTACGACATGTATGTGTGTGTGTGTGTGGGGGGGGGGGGCAGTAGGTGTATACTTGTTTTCCCAATTTGTACCACAGAACCTAAAGGGGAACAACATAACATGCAAACTGATATTTTATTATCTCCTTGTTTAAGTTCCGTTGGATCGTTGTGGTGAAAATAACAGATCGACTGCTTACCCAAAAGCCTGTCGTCAGAGTTAACTAATTGATAGTTTTTTTTTTTTTTTTCTCGAAGTTAGAATGCATTTGCCTGAGAGGCAAGTAACCAGCTGTCTGCATACAAGTGAGTCAGATCTGTAAAAAGGGTATGCACGCCATGCTCCTGTTCTGGAACAGGACTAGCGTCCAGAAGTGGACAAACAGCCAGAACTGTCCGCCAATAAATGCGAAGAAGAAGATATTTCCCACATCCTAATACTGGAATACAAGTGTTTTGCTGAGCTGGCCTACTCGTATGTCTCCACCAGTCAGTGACAGACTTGGCCCAACAGACTAAGATCAAGTACGGGACGGTGAAGGACAGCGGGGTGATGTCGTTCTTCAAAAACACAAATATTGAACATTTCGCCAAGATGTGGTCGCAGATGTCCGAGCTAGAACCCGATTCCATGGTGGACAATACCACAGAGGGATACAAGAAGGTAAATAAGTTTATTTGTTTGTTTTAGTATCCAGAAGCCATGAGTTGTTAACCCTTAGGCTCGGTATTATGGATATCGCAACCTTTCGGTCTTGATTCCATTGTAAATACCGTAAATCTAGGAGAAATGTGGCTTTTCTGACTACCCCCGGGAGTGAACCCGGACCACTAGGAGTTCGTCACCCGGTCACCGCGGAATCCGGTTTAACCAACTACGCTAGAGAGCCGGCAAAGGTAAGTAAGTAAAAGACCCTTTCACGCTCCTTCTGTTGTATTGGGTATTTAGAGCTAGATATATATTTTATAGACCAAACGGCATTTACCGGGTGATCTGATCAGCATCACGCCATCCGCCTTTACTTCCCAGGAATGTACACTGATGTCCACTAAACGCTGGGTCGACCTGGGAGCCAAGGTCGTTTTTGAAAAAAGTCCGGTCAGGGAACGAACGCACAAGCTTCCGATTTGCAGGCGAGCATCTAGTCGCTAGGCCACGGCAGCTCCCACGAGAAGGCAAGGTATGGCCTATACACGTTATCTAAATCTGCTAGATAAAAGGCGACCGTGCGTCTAGTTTTCGCAGGGACAGTCAAGTTTTTAGGTGTGCCCTAGCCACGCCACCGGTAGAAGGGGGAAAAGCGCAAATTTTCCCGTTTTATAAAAATCTAGGAATAAGCCTGGGAACAAAACACACACACTTATGTCAGCAGACCTTAAGAGATATTTTAGGTTTAGATAATTTTAATTAATGCATGAAATGCTGTTAATGGGAGTTCTCACTGCAGCATGTTTATTTCCACTGCATTCAAAAAGAATATTGTTTCGTTTATTTCTTGGTGGAAATAGTTCATGCAAGTAATAAACCTGTTACCCGCGGTGACCCAGGGAAGAAAAAAAAAGGTGGTGAGGGGTGGAAAGAGGGGTGAGTTTACTGAATCGCCTGGGATTACCTGTTTTTATCTTAAAATATTACACAAATGCAGCTGCGACTCGTTGCAGACGGTCAGTGTTCGAACCCGGAAATGGGTACCAGTGTTGACACTCTGGAGTAAATGGAGGAACGTCGCTGTAGCTACAGAGTTACGTGCGAAGGGCGACACAGGCGAACAGTTCTTATCAGCTGTCCGTACTGGTGAGAGCACTTATGGTTTATAACCGTGTGCAATGACGCTGGCTCACATCTCCCGACTTTACCTTTACCAATTTTAAGCTCAAAATATTAGTGGTGTGTCTCGCTTTCAGCTCAAAATATGAGTAGGATTTCCTGTTTTCTCCTCAAAATAGTGGGATGTCCCGTTTTTCAGCTCAAAATATCATTAGGATGTCCAGTTTTCAGCTCAAAGCATTAGTAGTGGGATATCCCGTTTTCAGCTCAAAGTATTAGTGGGATGTTCTGTTTTCAGTTCAAGATGTTATGACCACTTAAGCCACACTACACTACACACTCATACAGCAGCCAGGGGCGACGGGAACCACGCAGCTAAGGCTCCTTAGCCCCCCCCCCCTTTTCCACAAAAGTTCAAGATTAAAAACGGGGGATGGGGGAGAGAATACATTTGTAAGTGGGAAAAACGGCCATCCTCATCGTGCAAAGAAGTACTGTTTTTAAGAATATCTTTACATATCTCATAACATTGCAGATGCATTGTTGTATTTATTTGCAACTGAGCACATTATTATTATTATTATTATTATTACGCATTTAGGCAAAGGAGACCCTCTTCGCCCAGAAAATATGTAAGCAGACCCCTGCTAACAGTTAATGTGAAGACAGTCGTTCTCATCATGACCACCCAGAACGATTCTCTTATCATCAGTTACTGAATTCACCTTGTTAACCGTGTTTCCCAGCGACAACCAGAAGTTAGTAAACTTCCCCTTTATATGTCATTTCTTAGCTCTTAATCGACCAAGCATACAATGAATACCGGGTAACGTTCTTGAAAGTGCCGATTGATCTATAAAAAATACGTGTCTAGCAGCCCGTTGTGCCAATAGCATGAGAATGTCGTTTGCTTTACTTTATTTGCAGGGCTGTCTTACCCTAGAAATAACCCCCCCCCCCCCCCCCCCCCCAAAAAAAAAAAAATAGGTGATGATACGCAAAGTGTATACAAGAGGTACCGGTAATCATCATAAAGTATCTGTTACAGTAGCTCTGGGTACAATTATGCCTGCAGTAAGTTGCTAGTAGAGCGTACCGTTTGCGTGCCGCCATAACAAAGCCCTGATTGTAAATGATGATAATTGTTTCATCATCACAACGGTGTCATCTTTGCAATGATTGTTGGCTGCAATGGATCTCCAATAAGTTCTGTCTCTTGCTATAGTTGTAACTCTCTCCCAGACTGCTGTTCGTCCATCTCTTTATGTTGTCCTTCCATCTGTAACGTTGTCTACATTATGATCTCGTGTCTTTGACTTTTTGCTCCTGTATGGTTTTAAAAAACGTGTTATGTATTTTAAATGTGGTCAAAGAATTTCAGTTACCTTTTTTTAATTGTTTTTTTTTTAATTTTTTTTATTTCAGCAATTCTTCTTTTTTTTCATTTGTAGTCTTTCCAGAACTTCTGTATTGGATTGTTTTTGTTTCCATGAAATGTGATGAATTGTTTCATTTATGTTAGAAACGTCAGGTAAAACGATATGTGACGAACTGTTTCATTTAAATTGGAAACGTCAGGTAAAACGATATGCGATTATTTGTTTCATTTATGTTGGAAACGTCAGGTAAAACGATATGTGATTATCTGTTTCATTTATGTTGGAAACGTCAGGTAAAACGATATGTGATTATCTGTTTCATTTATGTTGGAAACGTCAGGTAAAACGATATGTGATTATCTGTTTTATTTATGTTGGAAACGTCAGGTAAAACAAGGCAACTACGCCTTTTTCTGGGACACTACAGTCAACAAGTACCAGACGATCGTAGACTGTGATGTCATGGAGATCGGGCCGGCCTTTGACCCCAAGGGTTTCGGGATCGGAGTACCTCCAGGAGCCACCTACAGAGAAGAGCTGTCCATGGCCATCCTGCGACTCAGTGACCAGGGTCGTCTTCATGAAATAGAAACAAAGTAAGCTGGAACACAAAAAGTTGTTACTTGAAATATCATCACTAGGCTGGCCATAATGTCTTGAACTGAAAATGGGACATACTACTAATATATTGAGCTGAAAACAGGACGTCCCAAGTAGGTCAGTTAACCCGGCTCCTCTTTTTTTTTTCTAGGTCACCAGACTGAAAGGGTAAATTACTTGCTCAGTAAGGGTATTAAACTCCTAAATATTGTCGCGCCAAGAAATAACGAAACAATATGCTCTTTAACGATACGGAGGGGGAAAACAGGGGTGGGAGAAGAGCGGTAGGAAATACATGCTACAATGCAACTTCCCATTAACACATCTCAGGCAATAAAAATATGTATTCTGGTATGTGTTCAATTCTCAGTCTTTTTTTAAATTTATAAAACGAGACAGTTGTGGGTTTTTTTTTCGGATGACGGACGGTACGGCCGGAGCACACCTATTAAAAAAAATCGGGACGGTGCAGGTGAAAACGGAACGTATGGTGGCCCTATTCATCACTAAAGAAAATGTCAGTCATTTTCACAAATGTATTCTCAGGTGGCTTGGTGTAGCACAGTCGTCTTCTTCGTTGCATATGTTGTCACACCCAGGTTCGTGTTTAGGTTTGCTACAGGAGGAGTCGATTGGAAGATTATAGACGAGGAAAAAGATGGTCGTGTCGATAGTGGTGGTGATGATGATGCTGTCTTGCTTGCTGCATGCTTCTCACGTAACTCTGAGGCTTGTATACAAAACGTCTGGAAACAACTGTTCTTGTCTGTAGTCTTTATTGTGACCTTCAGCAATGACACAAACAATATCAATAATATTTTGAATAGCGCTGTGTTCTCCCTATGGTTACATACTCTTAGGTTCGCGTTGTGCTCTTCATCTCTAATTACTTTGTTAACTGGTTCTAGTATCTCTAACTGCCACCTAGCTTCTAGTGCTGTTTGGTACTAACGTCTTGATCGTCGACTCTAACATCTCTATAGTGTTCCTAATATGTCTCTGTTCTCCATGGATCCATGTATCTTGTGTGTCGCCTCTGTAGCTCGATGTCTCGTTTCATGTCTGCTCTCCAGTGACTGTCTTCGAGGTTCAATATGAACGGCTGCTCTCCTTCCAGTGTTGAGCTGGCATCGATGATCACTGAGACTAGTCGCTCGTCTTCTGAGTCTCAACGACTGAAGGCTTCTAGTGTTGGGCTAACATCTTTACCACTGAAGGCTGTCTTGAGAGCCCATGTGACTGGCCTCTCCTCTCGAGTCTTGTCGACTGAAGAATTGCTCTGGGGTGCTTTGTTACTCGTTATTTATACTTGGATGCTGGAATGCTAGGTATTTGTTTTCTTCAGCTTCTAGAATATTCTAGTACATCTCCACTTGTTTACTATGTACGTTCTCACGTGGGATTTGCTAAAAATATCTAAAGTGCATCGGATTTCATCATCCTATTCTACGCAGATATAGTAGTTAAACTGATAACTGAGGTCATAGAAGCTTCTAGAAAAAACAAGGACAGTTGTGTTTGCTTTGATAGGGCACGTCAACAAGGTATTTACTGTTGGACAAGGTTGGATCACATGATGAAAATGCATTTCAAAACTTCTAGAAAGAAGGCCAAGGCCAGACAACATCAGTTTGATGTCAACAGCTAGTTTTGGCCGGAAAAGAAGATTCTGGAAAAGGGAATGTCAAGGTTACCAAAACTTGTTGATCTCCTAATATTCTAGCTTTGTGCCTCCTAACAAACAAGCTATGAGCTCACTCTGTTACATTGGTTACACGTGGAAAATAAAAGTAAAGGGCAGGGCATGGAGTCTTCAAATATCATGTACATCAAAACTCACGAGGAAGAGAACTCCAAAAGATCCTGGTTCATTCCAAGGGCCGTATTACCAAGAAAGTCACCACATGTGTATTAATAACTGCACATATGAAATGCTTTCCTGAAATCTGCATGTAAAAAACAAACAAGTTCTTACATTAACACACAAACTCCTAGTTTAACGTTGTCTGTATAGTATGATGATTAATGTAATTATCTGAGACCCAACATGTATTTATTCCTGTCACAATAGCTAGGAGTAACTACTGTACTAAATTTAAAGGGTTAAGAACACGAAGCTCTGCAAAGGACCTGTTTATGTGATGATGATGATGATGATGATGATGATGATGATGACGATGAGCGAGTCAAGTTCACATAGATGTTACAACTGTGTTAAAGACAAAATTACATGTCATCTTGAATGTTCTCAGTTAGTTGGATACAAGGCAGTGCATGGACTTGACTAAATGTTAACGCTCTATCTAATCAACGACAAAGTTACGTTCTTGAATATACTGAGATTGTAGGATACACGGCATTGCCTTGTAAAGTAAAATAAAGGACTCTCTTGCAAGCCTTTGGGCGTCTTGGACACATAGGGCAAAACCTATATTTTATAGACAAGGCCCTGGGTGGGTAATGTGGAACGGCATTGCCTTACCCTGACTAAATGATGCGACTTATCAATCAATCACCATTATCATCATAAACCACTTCTGTCGTTAAACGACGTGGGGAGGAATAATTTGCGATCCAGTGCAGGCTGCCAGCTACTGGATATTGTCATGCAGTGAAGGCGTAGAGTGTTTTTAATGTTGTCAGTGAATATTTTCGCGGCCGTCCTCTTGCTCGGGTAGCTGATCTTCTGAGATGTAGTGCTTGTGATGGTACTTGATCTTGCTGCATTCTAACGAGATGGTCAAACCACTTGATCTGCTGCTTCCTGTTGAATCTAGTACAAGATGTCGTTTCCACAGTTTGTCTAGTGGTGATTATTGATAGTATGATTATTCCCTCGTTCTCGGATGGTTAGGCCGACGTCTTTTCTTAGGCATCTCATCTCGCAAGTGGTGATTGTGCTTACATGGGCTTTAGATAGTGTACAAGTTGGCACTGGCAGCTCAATGCTGGAATGAAGATGCTATTTGTAATCTCTTTGCACTCATAGTTAAGTTTGGATGTCTTAATAATGGTGACTAATCAACGATCACAGTTAAGGCTTGTGTTAAATATCTCCAGGTGGTGGGATACCCGAAACTGCCCTGACCTGACCAAAACCGCCACAGACGAGACGTCATCCCTGCAGATTGACAATGTGGCTGGTGTTTTCTTCATTCTCATCGGTGGCATCATCATCGCAGCCATTGTCTGTCTTGGGGAGTACTTTGCTCACGCCATGATACGTGCGTCCAATCAGGCAAGTTCTTCACTCTTTCACATCAGCATCATCATGCTGCTGTTCATCCATCACAAGTATTTGGTCATTACATCCACTAGTGTTAGTAACAGACTTCAGGGTACATAAATGGCCCATACCCCGCCTGCCGGTACAAAGATGAAGGGTTTGAAACCCGCTACGATGGAGATTTTATTTACAAAAAAGGGACTCCAGAGAAAAAAAAATATATATATATATATATATATATATATATATATATATATATATATATATATATATATATATATATATATATATACATACATATATATATATATTTGACACAACAATATAACTAGTTCCCACGTCATAACAGCATAAGCTGGCAAGAAAAGGCAGGGTATGAAACATTTGAACACCCTGTATCGGAAATTTCATAACGTAGAGAAATGGAAAGGAAAAGGGGTCTCCCAGAGGGAACTCTGAAGTTGACTCCGCCTAAAATGGATACAAGGAAATGTCATGGAAAGCAAAGAGGGCCGGCAGGATGTTTACTACATCACCCAGAGAGCACCGCTTCGAGTACCAGTTGGTGTATAAAGCTAGGTACAGCAATGTATGTCCGATGCGCTAGTGGAAAGGGGGTTTGGGGGGGGGGGGGGGTGTTGTTCGTTTACTATTCTGTTTCTTTTTTAATACGTTTATTGCATGAGATTTTAATTAGTTTATAAAGCGCATATTTCCTTGTCCTTTTCTTTATTTACTTATGTGATAAATTGTTTCCCAAATCAACATGCATGCAAATAAGTACTTTTGTACCATGCTGTGTTAACTGCCAAAAATGGTTAAGACTTTCTTGTACTAAGAAGCAACAACAAAGAAAATAAGGGGGCTGCGTGGGCGCGAGGCATGGTGTCCGCCTCGAGTACTAGAGGTTCCGGGTTTAATCCCCGGTAAGGGCTGGGTTTTTTTTTTCTCCCACATGGACTTAGACTTCTAGTAATTTCCTTTGCTCCCTGGGTAGTGAGATCGGACACCCTTGTGCATTGTTGTGCACGTAAAAAATCCTTTGGCAGTTGGGAATCGAAAAGAGTAGCCTTACGGCACTGCCGGGGCAACATTTTGAGTTAAAAATCTACCCAAAGTATTTCAAGATCCTCCCCGGTGCTAAAGAGCCTGTGCATTGTGCTGAGCTGCTTCGGACTCAGACTTGAGTTAGAAGAAGAACGGAGCACTTATGAGCACCCGTGTGCTATGATGTTGATCTGTTTTCCAACTCGAACAAAGAAAATACTGCATGAACAAACTTGGGAAGGGGAAGGGCCAGACCGTTGACACCATTTATAAAACAAGACTACACTGATATGTCCACGGAATTAAAGAGAATGGCATAAGTCAGAAAACTAAGGGATAGAATGATCAGGAAGCTAAATAGGTAAAGCTAGCGTCATAGCCAGCATTGGAAATACGATTTTTTTGTTTAAGATCTTGGATATTCATACAGAGATCACATCACATGGTAGTTTGCTGCATTATCAGCCAACACATTAGCAACTATAAACTGCTTTTAAACCTGTGAAATTATAGAAAATGCAATAGTATGGACACTTGATGACAGAATCTGCCAGACACATGAAGACAATACTACAGGGGTCTGTAGAGAAGAAAAGGCAAGCCAAGAAAGACCTGGATTCAGAACTGGGCTGAAACATGCAAATATGAAGTCCATTAAATCTGGCCACAGAGGTGGAGGCAGCTGATCATACAGTCAACAGCAACTGGTGACCCACCTGCACTCGATATTATGAGCAATGGCATATGAAGGTCAGATAGTTAAAGGTTAGTTGCGTATCCTTTACAGGACCTTGCAGAACCAACCCCATTCATTCTTCTAGACAAATTCACCTCCAGTAGTTTGGGTCAGATGGTACCTGTGCAAAAAATGTCCTGTCCCATCAACCTCTCTTTTCCCACACACACACATACATATATTTGTTTTGTTAATTTTCTTTGCTATTAAAAATTATGGAAGTTTTCTTCTTCTTCTTTTTCTTCAGCATTCTGAGCCTTTGAGGTTCATTGCTGCAGATATCACCCACCTCCATTCATCTCTTTGGTTGGCCTTCGCTTTCCAGCTGGTAACACCAAAGTGTTTCCAGGTCTGTCTGAACATTATCTCTCCCTCGTCTTCTTGGTCTGCCTCATAGTTTACAACCATTCATCTCCCTTGTGAATACAGTTTTTATATCCCTGTCATCTGACATTCTCTCAATATGCCCCAGTCATTTCAACCTATTAGCTCTCATGATGCCAGCGATCAATGGTGATTCAAAGAGATTATGAATTTCGTTGTTGCTTCTCACTCTTGGAAGTTATCTGGTACAGTTTAAGTAAACAGCAGAAAATAAATGAGTTACCAGAGGAGTTATAGTGCCGGATTCTCAGTCAGTATTGTGGAAGTTCAGAATTGACAAATGAAGCATGAGTGGATGCACGTGTCAGCAGGACAAATTACAGTGACTCCTATAGATATACTGTCTGGGACATGCAGGAATGTGAGGGAATGCATTTTTGGCCACAAAAGTGAAAGCTACTAGAACCCTCATACTGGACAAGGTAGACATTGTAAAGACCATTTGGAGATGAATGCTAAAAGAAAACAAGGGATGATATGAAATAACATGTGTAAGAATCTGTGAATGCAGAATTTGGTGTGGATCTGGCAAGGAGAGAGGCAGAGAATTATGTGTGGATAATCAGTCTACTACAGGAATAGTCAGCATCTGCACTTTAAGGTATTTGCTGTGGAAGACTGAGCTTCTGTGGGTATGCCCAGTGTGCTATGATATGGATCTTAAATCAGTCAATCGTAATGAGACTGGTTCAGTGTCAGAGCCATAGTAGTAGGGAAAAAAACTGCAATTTCTGGGGATTAAAGCTGCACCACTGTTCGTACAAACAAGGAGACAAACCACTATACCACACCAAAACAGAGTTTTAAAAAAATGGTTTCAAAAAAATATTTAAACACTTTTGTCATTTTAAAAAGGACACACAAAAAAAATTGTCAATTTAAATGACAGTTGTTTATTACTCATATTCAACATGGAAATACACAACTAATAAAGTAACTGTCAGCACAGTGTGGACAATTAGCCAATAACAACATAAAAAAATATCATGTCATAAAAATATTGAACATTTAAAAAACAAACATGGCAGCCAAAATGAGCTCCAGTAGAAAGAGTCAGTCAAGATAATGTATCAATACTGTCATTAAGTTGAACCAGGTCAGTTTTAAGTAACACTAACTTACCAAGCATAACATAAGAAGCAACTATGGGTGGCTAGCATAAAACCCTGTGACCCAGCCTGACAATAAATATCAGAAAATGTGTGGAATTAACGGTGGCCGGTTTGATATTCCCACTGCTGTCTGGTCTACAAATATGAGATTGCCATCATATAACCACTACACCACATGACTGTAAAGGTGTCCTTTACCTTCTGCTGAAAAGGGGAGGGGGTGGGGAATGATCATGAATGCCACCCAGTAAGACAGTTTACGAAGAGCAGTTCTAGTGATGCGATGCTTGTGGCTGCACTTCTGACAGCTGCCTTATGCAGTTTAATGCCTGTGTATGCTGCTAGCTGTTCTGAGACTGCAGTCTGCTTTAATTTTTCTGCAAGAGACAGTCATGGGTATCGAGTGTTATTTTTGCTGATGTATGACTAGGGCAATTATGGGGTGATCTGTCTGCTGTGAAGTTGGATCTGCAAATCTTATTCTTCTTCTTTGTCCACCGGCTGTAAGCTCTGGTATAAAGTCCTGGTTGTTCGTCCTTTTGGACTTTCGCTTTGTGCCAGGGCCAGAGTTTTGCATGTAGATCAATTTCACTGGCTTATTTGTGTGCAGTTAGTTGTTCCTCGCCTCTCAGGCGTATGCACTCAGCCTTAGAAGGAAGCTCCCAATTAGTCGACTCCTACCACATGCTTGTTGGGAAGGCAGTGGGTCTATTCTTGTTTTCCAAACAACAGGGCCCCGGAACCTACACAGGAAAATTTGCTAATAACTAACTGAATCTACATGAATGTGCTTTTTTGTAAGAAACTATACACACAATGTTCACAGGTCAACAAGAATGTAAAAGGGATCTCAAATGGCAAACATACTCCAGCCACTCTATACAGAGACAGCCGTATATGACTGACAACTGACCAAACGAAAGCAACAGCTGCATGCTGCATGGTGTGTTGTTATCTATTTTGTTATTTTTGTACATATTGATTTCCCATTTAGTTTTATCCACAAAAATGATTCTCTGTTGTGTGTTTTTTTTTTTTTTTGGCCAATTAATAAATTATTTTGTAGTAATTACTAATGTTTACTGCATGTACTAATGTTTATTGCTGCATTATTGACAAGTGGACAATTAGTGAAAAATTATTTGGAAGTGATGGAGATGTGGTTTTATAGATGAATGATGAGAAACTCTGGACAGGTAAAAAAGAGTAACAAATATGTCTTGAAAGAAACTGAAATATGAAGAGAACTGCCCACATCAGGAGACAATCTACATTCTTTGGTCATGTCATGAGAAAAAGAAAACTGGAGATTATCATGACAGTGGGAAAGCTGGAGGGGGAAAGAGGAAGTCAGAGAGAAGATAGTGGACAGTTTGACATCATGGCCTGGAAGATCATCTGTGTCAGAAGTGACTGAGAGTACATAAGACGGAAAGCTGTGGATAGACAAGACTACCAATGCCACACTGCACTGACTATCAGAAAAATGGTTACTGTAGTAAATTATAAGACGACTTGAAAGTCTGTTATTTATTAATGTCTGTGAATCCTGGACAATTGGTAGGCAGGCCAAACAATTTTTAGAGGCCTCAGAGATGTGGTTTTACAGAAGAATGCTTAGAATACCTTGGACAGCCAAAAAGAGCAACCAAGAGGTTTTGAAAGAGGCGGGAGCCCGAAGACAACTTATTACAGACATCAGAAGGAGACATCATTTTTCGGCCATGTTATGAAAAG